TCATGGTGGGGCAAGCTTGGGCAGCATGTGCCAGCCTCCTGCCCAAACGCACTGCACTTTCTGTCTGCACCCCAGGGCAAGGCGCCAGTGTGAGTCCAACACACTTTCTCAGCCACCCCACCCCCACGCACTGCTCGGGTTACAGGTGAGGGGTGTGACCTGTCTACCTGCTGAGCCCTGTCCTTCAGGCCACCTCTGGACAGCCGTGGGTGGGTGGCTCTCCAGAAAGAATAGCTCCTCTGTGCTCCCTTTCCTTTCTTCCTGTGCCTAATTGGGGATTAGCTTGGGAGTCAGGCAGATCAATCTCTCCCTCCCCAGGTGAGGTCACGCTCTGGGCACTATCAGTGTTGATCAGTGAGTCCGTGTTGAGTAGGAGCCACCCAACTCTTTCCAGCACAGGCTCCCATGAGGCAGAGGTGGGATGGCTGGGAAGGCTGCGAGGAGGGGCTGGGGTGCTAGTGGGAGCCTCCCCCTCCCCCAAAGGCAGGAGGTCCACAAGGCCGCTGTGGAGTTTCACAGATGGGCTGCTGGGGTGTGGTCCCTGGGTCCTGAGGGGCAGAGACACGAGCATGGCAACCACTGGGGTGTGTCCCCAGAGGGACACCGACCAGAGCTGCTACCACAGGCCGGGTCCCAGGACTGGGCATGACTTGGGCTTGCAGAGGGCCCAGGAGCTGGCAAGAGTCGCCCTGCCCGGAATGCAGGGGTGCAGGTGTGGTTTCCAGTCACCTGTGGTGTTTTGGTCCAGGCGGGTTGCATCTTTGCAGGGGACAGTGTATTTTTAGCCCAGCAGACTCTGGAAAACCCAGAGAAGATACGTGGACTTGAAAATGTTTTCCTCTTTGGTCTGTGGTGCTGGGTAATGAGTGGCAGGGAAGCCAGGTCCCCCGCCAGAGCCTTGGGAGTCAGGCAGATCAATCTCTCCCTCCCCAGGTGAGGTCACGCTCTAGGCACTATCAGTGTTGATCAGTGAGTCCCCCCACTGGGTTCGGTGCAGTAACACGCCCCAGGACGGGATGTTAGCAATTCCAAAGCAGAATGTGCCTGATTTTTTGTTTCTGTTTATTTGGGTTATTCGTTTTCTGGTGGTGCCAGAAATTAAACCTAGGGCCTCACACACAAGGTAAGTGCTCTTATACTGAGCCTCATCCCTGGCTCTCACCAAGAGATTGCAGGTCTTTGGAGTCCCTAGGGCTCCATTATAGTCAATAAAGTGAGCCTTGAGTTTCACGTCAAATATCACTGTAGCACTGTCTTACTATTGTTCATTGATTTGCTCGAGTGGGCACCAGTAACGTCTCCATCGTGAGACTTGTTACTGTTTCTGGCATATCGAATATGCCCCGAGGAGCTTGCCAGGCTCTGCTGTGCGGGCGGGATATTCTCAGTAGCTTGCTGGGCTCTCCAAGAGGGGCGGAGGAAGTGAACCCGGTAGACCTTGTGCAAGGCAAATGTCCTACCCACTGTGCTATCGCTCCAGCCCTTCATGTCAAGTAGTAATTTTATTCCACCATGAAGAGATGATTTCTGGGGGCCCACATCTGGCAGTGGGCTTACTCCTGCCTCTGGGCTCAGGGCTCACTCTTGGTAGGCTTGGGAGACCATATGGGGTGCTAGGAATTGAACCCGGGTTAGTCCCATACAAGACAAGCGCCCTTCCAGCTGCACTCTGGCTCTGGTCCCTTGAGATTTCCTATAGTTGTTCTGGGAATTTCTGTTTTACTTTTCATCCTTTACCCCCTTCCCTTGGTTGGTGCTGGTGAGCAGAGGTTGAGACACACTGTGGCTATTGTGGGGGTGGGTGACACCCCTAGCTTCAGCACCCACCCATTGCCATCACCTCTGAGGGCTGCACGAGGCCTGTCATGCTGACACACTGCAACATGGTGCCTGCTGTGGTGGCAGTGGTGCCAGGATGCCAGGACCCTGGCAGGCACACGCAGTGGCACTGGGGACTGAACTTGACTCATGCATACGAAGCCATGGAGTCTGGTTCCCATTTTTTTCAGTTGCTTTTGTTTTGGGGCCATACCTGGAAGAGCTTGGGGGAACCATATGTGGTGCTAGGCACGGAACCCAGGTTGGTAACGTGTAAGGCAAAAGCCTAACCCACTGCCCTATCTCTAGACTGCTGTTAAAAACTGTCTTTATGTTTTGTTGGGCTGCAACAGTTTTGCTCTGAAGGCTTGGCGGCCTCGAATGTCACACTCACAGCGCCCAGGCCGAGGAATGCCATGGCCCAGAGGTTTCCCTGGAGCCTCAGCCACAGCACTCCCAGAGAGCAGTAGGACCCCTGATTCACTGGGGAAGGGAAGGAAAGGCACAGGCCAGAGAACATTTCCGGTTACATCAGCAGGTAGAAAACAAGCACCCAGAAAACCCCACGCCCACGTGTGTCCCCATGTTGGGCAGGTGTGATTTTTTGGTGCTGGAGACAATTGGGCAACGTTCACAGGAGTGCCAGGGAGCACCCCTCAGGTCCTTGGTACTTGCCATTTCTGCCCACTGAGCCCTTGGTGGGACCCCTGCTTGAACCACACTGGCTGGTCAGAGCTTTCTCAGAGGCACAAACCATCCTTTAGCCTCTCAGCCCTGCCGGTTCCCTCCATTCCCCGCATGTGCTCCTTCCCGTAAATCCTGCATGCTCCCGCTCTGCCTTGGCAACTGGATTCTGAAGACTCGTGGGCACTGATGAGCTGCCAATCCACACGAGGTGACTGGAAAGGATGGCTCACCCTTCTGCGATTTGAAGGCTGCAGAGTCCTCAGAGAACACAGCAGGTGGCTGAAAGCATTTCATTGAACTGCCCTCAGAGAATGTTGACTTCTGCAGACATTTCCACCTGTTGAAGTATGGTTGAGAATCATCTTGAGAGCAGGTTTTAAGGAAAGCTGTAGCACTGTCCTTGTTCATCGATTTGCTCGAGTGGGCACCAGTAATGTCTCCATTGTGAAACTTTATTGTTTTGGCATATCGAATATGCCACAGGGAGCTTGCCAGGCTGAAAGGGATGGAAGAATGGAACCCAGGTCAGTTGCGTGCAAGGCAAATGCCCTACCTGCTGTGCTATTGCTCCAGCCTTTAAGATAAACTATATATATATATATATATATATATATATATATATATATATTTGGAGGTTGGAACAATAGTACAGTGGGTAGGGCGCTGGTCTTGTGTGCAGCTGACCTGGGTTCAATTCCTGGCATCCCATATGGTCTGCCAGGAGTGATTCCTGAACTCAGAGCCAGGAGTAACCCCTGAGCATAGCCAGGTGTGGCCCACAAACAGAAAATCATGTACTGGGGTCAGAGAGGCAGTACAGTAGAGAAAACATGATCCATGCATGCTGCCGCTGTAGACATGACTTGGGTTTGCATCTCCAGTACCACAGAGGGCCCCCTAGAACCCCCCTGGTAACTCTGGGCTCCCAAATGTGGTCCAACTCTCCCCTCTCCCAAATCATTTACTGAGAACTCATCCTCTGGCAGGAACCATGGCAGAGCTTCTCAGACACTATTTTCTTGGAGTCCCAATTCTACCATGTATCTTCATTCTTCAGTCAGAAGCAGAGTCAATTAGATGCTGAGCTTGGATTCGAATGGAGACTGAGGTCAAGGCCAATAATCTTAAGCTTCAACATGGCATCCTGGTATACTGAGAGTTTATTTAAAATAGAAAATTTCAACAACAAAAAAATAAACTAGAGGAGAGGAAAATGAAGGGAAAAAAATGTACTAGAGGAGAGGAAAATAGTCACTGAACAGAACTGGCTTACAGGTCTGTTTTGTGTGTGTGGTAGCAGGGGGTGGAACCAGGGCCTCTCACATGCAAGGCAAGTCCCAATTCCAGCCCTAAGATTTGTAAAGAGAAAGATAAAATAAACACCGGGATGTCTGGTCAGTTTCAGATGACTGTTCGGTTATGTACTTTGAGACACGTACTTTTGGGGGGTTTTGGTTTTGACACATCAGTCTACACGGCCTCCAGATTTCATTTCAGTCCCAACACTATTTTGTTTTTAATATTATTTAATATCTTAAATTAAGATATTTTAAAATTGGTTTATAACTTTGCATAGAGAAGAATAAAAAGTCTGTCACATCCTATAGGCAGTAAAATGACCGGTTTGGGCTCCCAATGAACAGTGGGTCTCATAATTCAATCTCCCAGGCCCAGGAGAGTGTCCTGCACACAGTCCCAGGAAAGTTTTTCAAATAGTCTCAGCCACCCCCACGCCCACCTCCAAAAGATAAAAACAAAAACAAAAAAGACTCAAGCACTTGACTGGCATGAGGCCCTCGAGCACAATCATTACGCACATTCTGGGTGTGTGTGTGTGTGTGTGTGTGTGTGTGTGTGTGTGTGTGAGTGAAAACTGGTACCAAAGCAGAAAATGTTCATGTGACAACAGCAAACAGCAGGGATTCTGTGAGAAAAGGACTTCACACACATGACAGTGGTTGGAGGAATGTTAACTTGAAAAGCCCTCAAAGTCTTTGCCCATCTTTAAAAAAAATTCTTCTAGAATTGCAATTAGTTGATCCTAACAATTCTACTGTTAATTGCTATCTGGGCTGCCTTCAGGAAAAGGAAAAGAAAAAAAAAAGGCGAGAGAAGAAATACACAACCTGGAGAAGCTACCAGGCAGGTTATCCACTGAATCCTACAAGCCCGAGTCTGTCCTCTGATTGGGAAACTTGTTTTCCAAATCACCTTGTAGCTAACGTAGTTAGGTATAAAGCTGTGTGGGCTTTAAAAGCATGTCAGGGGATGGTGTGTTAACTAACTTCAGTGTGGTAATCATTTCACAATGCTGCCACAGATCGACTACACTGAGCGCCTTAAACTTGTTAAGATGTCAATTACCTATCAATGAAACTGGCCAGGGAAAGCAAAGCAAAGCAGTGCTAGGCATTTTAGGAGAAAAGACATGGAGGAAATAAAATGGATTGTTTTCTGAGAACGGAATGTAAAAAATTCACCAGTTCACTATGTTAAAAAAAAGATGGCACATTTATTGCTACATAAATGTTATATACATATTGTGATTTCTGTTATAGCGACAGAAAAAACTTTGAACTTCTTGCTGCTGGTTGAAAAGGTTTATCAATAATACCTTGAATTTGACACAGGATACAAATCTGTAATAAACCAACAATGGAAACTGGAGAACAAGATGAGAAGCAATTCATCTCGGACAATTAGCTCTTACAATACTCCATAGGTACTACACGGTAAGCTAGAATCCTACTATGGTCTTAAAATGCTATTGTAAATTTCTGATATTAATGAACAGGTTATGGTAAATAACCCTACATTTTTACTACCTAATATAATAAAATAAAGTAAGAAACTTTTTACTGAAAACTTTTCGATTTCAAAAATCTAGAAAGAGTAATATTTAGAATTCAAGAAATTTTCTTACAAGATTATTGTATAAAAGACTAGCTACAGTGAAAAATAAGCCAAATGTTTTTTTCTTTCTATTTTATGAAGGAAAGCTTCTGGGCATACTGCAAAGTCTAATATAGCGAAAAAGACGACAAGCTCCGAAGGAGAAAGGCCGGGCAGTGGCACACGCTCACTCACACATAAGCAACGACTTCTGTTTAGCTGATTAACACTGAAATGAACAAGGCCACGGAGAGAGTCTGATGTAACTGTATGCAATTAAAAGAACCAAAAATCCACTAAGTTTACAAAGACTGATTTGTTAGGAATCATTGTGATTGGAGGAGCTAAGGTTCTGTCATAATTGTTTTTGTTCTTGCAAATTAACAGAAATCTTTACATTACAGAGTGATTTGGGTCCTTCCTTCTGTGTGCTGATTGCCATTATTGATACTGAATGCTCTAAGGAATTATTAAGCCAAGACAACCTTGTTTAGCATTTTTTTTTCTCCCAGGACTGTTGGAAGACAAATTTCATGGAAGTTCAAAGTGATTATGAGATCTCATAAAACTCTTAAAGGTTGGAGACAGATGGGTGCCTATCGCACAGTATTAAGAAGGACCGGCCAGGACTGGTTTAATGCTAATCTGGCTCATCTTCGTGGGGTGGGGCAGATGGCAGCAACTGGTCAAATCACCTGCTGAAATCCTCCCCAGCGGCCAGCCATCCAGTGACAGAGAAATCAAGGCTAGGACAAGGGCACACAGTGACCACTGCTCTTGTCCCCATTAGGTGACGAGCCTCAGAGTGGTGTGTCCACTTATCACACTACCTGCCTTGGGGACCACTGGATTTTTTTTTAAATGTTTACCACCATCATCATAGTCTGAAAAATCTTTTTAAGTCTGTTTTGTGCTTACTCACAGCTAACACTTTACAAGTACTATATGTATGTAGTACTTATTGCTTGGAAAACAAAGCAATTTCTAAAAAGTAATTTTTTCTTGCAATTTATACTTCTTGCTATTACAAGCTCTTCTATGAAATCTAGAAGCTTGAAAAGTCTTGGTTATTATTAGAATAAAATAATGTTTATCTGAGGGAAAATTTAGGGGACAAAATTTTCCCTTTCAAAAATCTTAGCCAGGCTATGGTCACAGATGGCTTTTGCTTATTCTTGCAAGGGAAATACGCAAGCACTGGGCAGCGCAGGGGATTTGTGACCATGAACTATTTCCGACTCATAGACCAAATGTGACACTCACAAAGAGAAAGTAAAACGAATGAAAAAAATGAGCAAGAAATGCTATACCAAGTCATATTTCCCTATTTCAATGGAAAACACTATTTATATGGCAAAGGACAGGAGAGGGCAGCGAGTGCCTTCCCTTCCTCTAAGACACTGACAGGTGTGCCGGGAATGCTGAGGGCCAAGGGTGGTCACTGCTTTGTTCTCTGATGTGAACAGCTTTGACGAATGCTGGCATCAGCTGAGTGTACATCAGCTTTCCACATTAACCTTTTCCCTTTACATGTAGACCTTACAGTTCCATACAATAAATAAAATTTGTAGTTACAATGCATTTGTCAATTCAGTTTAGGCACAAGGCAACTTCCACAGTAAGTGGAGAGATCGAGACAGTCTCTGATTGTGCAGAAGCGACACGGCTTGCCACAGGACGCTGTGCTGATGTCTGTCAGATGAGCTCCTATCTTCACTTCGGAGACCAAGAGTTGGCCAGTGGCTTTGATCGTAGGATAACATTTGCGTTCTTGCTTCAAGTGTTTTGTATCTTCCTTCTCCCTCCTATCAGGTTTGTGTCTTCAGAAACTCTGAGCTGTCCAAGTCCTCTGAGGAGACGTCACCTTCTATCTAGCTACCGAGGACTCTGAAGCTGAGCCAGTGAGCACGGAGGAGAGAAGAGAGCCCGTTAGGACGTTCCAGTTGTAAACGGACGCATTCCCAGACCACCACCCGACGGGCCTCACTCACACCCCAGTTCACACTGCATCAGCATTCTGCTAAGTGACTCGTGACTGAGTTCTTCCTGTTAAGATGCAGTTGATGTACGTGTGGCCAGGAGACAATGGCCCGTGACCAACAGGACCATATTACAGCAATTACGCAAACCTTGATTTTGGTGAAATTTTAAGTGGGTGAAACATGAGCTCTGAGGTCTGACTCATCTACTGCCTGGTGGCGAGACCATGTCTGAGCACACAATGGCCACAGGAGCCAGTTCACCTCACTAGCTCCCTCATGGTCCGACCCAGTCACAGCCAACTCAGGTCAACTGCAAGCTTCCCAGGGAAGAGACCATTTTGTAATCATTTCCACACCAGTCCCAGTTTCTGGTTTATAATATTTTTCCATAAATTTATTTCCATAATTTTTCCCCATAAATCCATATATTTTCCATAAATATATTTCCATAAATAAAACAAATTTTATTCTAGGGGGCTGGGCAGAATGCACAGTGGGGAGAGCATTAGTCATGCATGCCACCAATCTGGGTTTGATACCCAGCACTGAGCCCGAAGTAAACCCTGGGCATAGCTCGGTGTGGCCCAAAACACAAAACTGCGTTTTTCTTTTTGGGTCACACCCAGCGATGCTCAGGGATTACTTCGGGCTCTGCATTCAGGAATTACACCTGGCAGTGCTGGGAATCGAACCCGGCTTTACCACGTGCAAGGTAAACACTGTGCTATCACTCCAGTCCCTACTTTTTTTCTTTTTTTTTTGTTTTTTGGGTCACACCTGGAGGTGCACAGGGGTTACTCCTGTACTCAGAAATTACTCTTGGCGGTGCTTGGGGGACCATATGGGATGCTGGGAATTGAACCTGGGTTGGCCCCATGCAAGGCAAACATCCTACCTGCTGTGCTATCACTTCAGCCCCACTTTTTTCTTTGGCCCCATGCAAGGCAAACACCCTACCTGCTGTGCTATCGCTTCAGCCCCACTTTTTTCTTAATAAAAATTTATTTTTCTAGCTATTTTTCAATGTAATAATACATAGTATAAAATCTGACACACACACATACACACATTTGTATTTTTTGGTGTCTGTGTAGTGCTGGAAATCAAACCCAGGGTCTCACACATGGAAGATAAAAACTCTCCTCAAGAGCCCTGGCCCACAGAATTTTCCATTTCCAATGAAAAAAGTTTGAGAAGAATCACACCACTGCATCCTTACTGAACAATAATCTCAGTGCTGGTTTAGTGACACTGCCTGGGAAAGGAACTCTATTCAAGATCACGGCAGCAGTCTCTGTGGGGGTGGGGGCGGGCAGGGAGAAGAGGTCCTGCCAGGAAACTGATCTTGGGGGTCTATGCTTGTTCTCCAGTCCTACAAAGAATCCAGATAAAGCCAGATCTCTTGGTGAAACTAACCATACCGCCCAACAGTTCAACTTAAGGTTTTCTTGGGGGTGGCGGGGGTTTTGGCTACCCCTGCCGGTACCAGGGATTATTCCTGACTCTGCTCAGGGATCACTCTTGGCGGTACTGGATGCTGGGATCAAGCCTGGGTTAGCTGCGTGCAAGGCAAATGCCCCATCTGCTGCATTCTCTTGAGCTCCACCATTACTGATTTTAGTCTAATGATAAAATTGGGCAAAGAATCACATACCACTGAAGGCACTGCTGGCTAAAATGCTACTGGCCCAAATATTTAATAAGCTATGTTATAATTCCTGTCACCTAAACATTAACTTTACAACTTACATTGTAGATACTTTGAATTTATATAACTGAGAAAAAGATGATAAAAATTACGTACAGATACTTGGGCAGAAAGCTCCAGGGGAGGGCATTTGGTTCAGGCACAAAAAATGCCATTAGGGTCTGGAGACAGTACAGTGAGTAAGGCGTCTGCCTTACATGCGACTGACCTGGGGTTCGATTCGCAGCATCCAAAATGGTTCCCTGCACACCAGGAGTAACCCCTGAGCATTTTCAGATGTGGCTCCCACCTCCCCCAAAAACAACAACAAAAGTCTTTAAATCCATTCAAGGATCTTAGATGGTGTAAGATGGACTTATAACATGTAAAGCAGCTATGTGGTATAAATTTACATTATTGACTCTAATGGTAGCAAGCATTAGTTTCTTTGTATATGAAAGGTTTAGTGATAAAGAAGTGGTAACTGGCTAACAGAAAACTGGTTGATTACAGTTAAATATCCCAAGTAGAGGAACGAGAGACATTCCTGGCAGCAAAAATGTTTGTTGGTGGATGAGCCACTGCACTACTGTCATCTTGGATCAAAATATCAAAATAACAGATCAAGTACATGTGATGATTCAGAACAAGATACACTCAAATTCTCTTTTTTTCCCTTTGGGAAGTGCTCAGGGAATCCTCCTGGCCCTGCGTTTAGGAACGCTCCTGGCAGGGCTGGGGATGAGGGTGTGATAACGGGTGCTGGGCATCAAACCCAGGTGGCCACGTGCAAGGCAGCAGTACCACCTGCTGTATTCTCTCCTGCTCCAACCACCACATTCTTTATCAATCATGAGACTCTTATCACACTTGGGAGAGAATAACAGTTCGCAATTTCTAATTCTGACTCTATGATAGAAAGGTATATATTACTGTAACTTTGAACCGTTCATGACCATTATCACATGCAGTGAGAATCTAGGTAAAGGCTGAGTTGGAATGAATCAGGTTGTTTCCTGATTTTACACACATGCTTACCTGGCTGATGTTTACATATGACCCATAGGGTTGGTAGTTTCACTAAGCCCAGGATGGGCTCCTGGCAATGTGGTTGGTGGCTCTGCCGATACGGCAGAAACTTTTTCTTCTTCCCTTCTTTTAAGGCAGGCTGCTTTGGGGTTAAGGTTCCTTTCTGAAATGGGAAAAAAAAATCTTAGCATTATGTTTGTAGTTATAAAATCAGGATCTAAGGCCTTAAAAGGGGAAACTTTGCTATTATTTTAAAGATGATTAGTATTATGGTCCAGGTAATTAGGTCACGGTAGTAGTTAAGTTTATGGTATTGTTCACAACACTATTGTGACCAATAGTACTTTTCCTTTCTTTCTGTGGGCATGTTCAACAGTATTGTGACCAATACCATAAACTTAACTGTGGACAACACAGACACAGAGATGCCCTGGCCCTCCACTACTGTCCTCTGTCGGATCTCTGCCCTGCCTGCCCTGTTCCTGGCACTATTAGCTGATGACATTTTTTTTTCTTTTTTTTAGGTCACACCTGGCAATGCACAGGGGTTACTCCTGGCTTTGCACTCAGGAGTTACTCCTGGCGGTATGCAGGGTACCATATGGGATGCTGGGAATTGAGCCCGGGTCGGACATGTGCAAGGCAAACACCCTACCCATTGTGCTATCTCTCCAGCCCCTAGCTGATGATATTTATGGTCTGAGTGCATTACTTTATAGCCTTGGTTGTTTCTCTAAGCACACAGATCAGTGAGAGTACCCCGTACTTGGCTTCTCGTACTTTTCCTTTCTTTCTGTGGGAATGTTCAAGCTCTGTGTCTGATCTTTCCATACTGGCTGTATGTAAACAGATGGGACAGTAATGCATTCACACACAAGCGCAGTGTGAAACATGCTTCCAGTTTCATACTTATTCATGACCACTTTCATGGTTTCTCTCTTTTCTGTTTATGACTTAGTTTCCCCAGTTTCATCTCATTGACAGCAGCATCCAACAGAAGCTCTTCTGTGTGACTCCAATGTTCTGGTGAGTACCTGTCCTGCTGAGTGATGAGCTCCTGGGATGCTGAACTGGAATGAAAGCTGACATTCTCTAGAGGCACATCGCATCTGTGTCTTACCTGGAACTTGACCAGTTCCTCATTCCCGCCCTCCAAAACAGCAGTACCCTCATCACTTTTCTATTAGAAATGTGCTAACTCACCAAGACTGAACTGTAAAAGTGGTTATTTGCAGAAATACGGGGAATCATCATGTGAGAGAAAAGAAAGGAAAAGCCACTGGACTGAAACATTCTCTTTCTCCTCTCCCTTCTGCCTCTTCTGACTCCTGGTCCTCCTGCTGGGAGGTACCTCTGGGTGATGCTCAGGGGACCCTTTGGGCAGGGACTGAACCTGAGCTTCCTGAGGAAAAGCAGGTGCTCTGCCTGCTCTCTCTCCCTGGCTGTTATATTTTCTTTACATTAATTTTATATTCTGTTTTTAGGTCACACCTGGCAGAGTTCAGAGCTTATTCCTGGTTCTGTACTTCATATGCTTAGACTGCCCAGGTGAGGCTTGGGGAAACCTATGGGATGCCATGGCTCAAGCCCAGACTGGCTGTAGGCGAGGCGAGTGCCCTACCTGCTGGACTCTCTTCAGGTCCCTTTACTCCTATTTTAAGCATAAGATCTCCAACCCCTGGCTGGGGAGATGGCTCAGAGGGCTGAGACACATGCTATGCATGCATGCCGGAGCCCTGGGCTCAATTCTACGCACTGCTAGGTAAGATCCCAAAACAAAACAGAAAAGAAAAAAGATATTCAACCCTTGATGCTCTCTGCTATAATCTTTTGTTTGTGATTTAAATTTGAGGTATTAGCTAAAATTTGTAACACACCTTTTAAAGAGTATATGTTATAGTCCACTTTTGAGTTGCAAAAGACTACTATGGTAAACTTAGCTGACTGGTGATGACCATTTATAATTTCATTGTGTTCTAAGCCCCTGAATTTAGAAAAAGACATGAGAACTTAGAAATAAGGAGGGCTGACTAACTAAAGAGAAAATAGAGACAGGCGTAAGAGCAAGCACGCATGAGCATACAAACATGCGAGCAGTCAGTGCATACCGCCTGAGGAACTCCGAGCTTTCTGGATCTAGAGTCAACAAAGCAGCCTGAGACCACTAAGGCGCGGGGCAAGTCATCCATATGAGGTGATGCAGGAGGGCTCAACTGACCCAAAGGAACGAAATGTTAGTACTGAGTCCAAACAACTGCTAGGGGGTGAAGGGGGTCAGCCTCAGGGGCAGCTGACCAGCAGCAGGGGCTGGAAGCAGCTCAGGACGACTGACTCTGGCTGGAGTTGGGCGTGGCTCCACCCACACCTACCCTCCAAAAAGGAAAATCACAAAACTGAGAAATGGGGAAAGTGTGAGGAAGAGAAAAGAGGACAAGTCCCAGAAGGTAAGGGCGGTAACGCCCGAGATCAGAACAGCAAGAATGGGGCTCCAGGCAGCCCGAGGCGGCTCTGCAGGAAGACGGACTGACAGATGCTGAAAGAGGAGAGAACCACCAAGGATCATCCTGATGGGGCAACGCAGGAATAACAGCACTCACAAAGCACGTACCCAAACAGGCATGGAGACAAACGGTCTCCTGCAGAAGCAAGTCACGGAGCTCTGCCGAGCACACTCACCTCTGACCTGCTGCTCCAGGCTGAGGATGACCGCCACAGCCTGGTGGAGGATGAGGAGCTTCGTCTGGGGCTTCTCACTCTTCAAATGAAGCTGGCACATCCGGCCGAGCTCTTTGAATGCCTCATTGATATCCCGCACACGCAAGCGTTCTCTGGCGTTGTTAGCCATCCGCCTCTCTTTTTCCCTCTCTATTTTCTGTTCTGGGTTCAAATCCTCATCTTCATTAGTACTGCTGGAAGACAGATTATCAACAATATCTGTTAGATTCCCGAGAACATTACATAGTTATAGAGGGGAAAATGAAAACCAACCTCAACTTTCAGTAACAATAGTAAAAGCTCCACTTGCATGACTTCTTTCCAATTCCCTATTTTTTGGGGGGCGGGTGGGGGAAATGTGGGGCACAACCAGAAACGCCTCAGGGCTGTCCCTGACAATGCTGAGCAGCCAAGAAGCGCAAAGACTGACGGACTCAGCCACGTGCACGGCGAGTGCTTTACATGCGGGCTTGCTCTCCCTGGGCTTGTGACTTTCCAGTCTTTCTTCAATGCATACGTGAAGTCAAGAAGTTTAACTTTTGTCACATGCATTTTAAAGTGGATTTTTTATTGCACATTACAGTAAGAATCTCTCTAAACTAGTGAAACTCTTTATAAACTGATCTGAAAGAAATTCTGAAAACAACTTAACTATGGAAACTGAAGGCAGACCAGAGGGAACCAGAGGCAGGAAAAGGGTACCAGCTAAAATGGTACACAAATTAAGGGTGTGTGTATGTGTGTTTGGGCCACACTCCTTAAGACTTGAGATCACTCCTGGTGATGCGATGTGGTGCCAGGGATCAAATCTGGACCTATGCATGCGAAACAGGAACTCAGTTCATTGAGTTCTCTGTGTTAACTTTTTAGATGGTAGAGATATTCTACACTGTGTGATGATGGTTATATGACTGTACAAGTTTGTTAAAAGACAAAAACTAAGCATAATATTGTTGTGTTTTACTATATGTGAACAAAAACAGTAACAAGGGGCTGGAGCGATAGCACTGCGGGTAGGGCGTCTGCCTTGCACGCAGCCAACATGGCCGACCCGAGTTCGATTCCTCCGCCCCTCTCGGAGAGCCCGGCAAGCTACCGAGAGTATTTGATATGCCACAGTAACAACAAAGTCTCCAATGGAGACGTTACTGGGCCCGCTCGAGCATATGTGAACTAGCCTCAATAAAGCTGGCTAAAAGGAAATCACAAATGTTGCAGAAAACAACTCATGGACAGGCAGCACTGTCGCACTGTCTTCCCATTGTTCATAGATTTGCTTGAGCGGGCACCAGTAACGTTTCCATTCAGGGGTTACTCCTGGCTCATGCACTCAGGATTGCTCCTGGCGGTGCTCGGGGGACCATATGGGATGCTGGGAATCGAACCTGTGTCAGCCATGTTGGCTGTGTGCAAGGCAAACGCCTCACCTGCTGTGCTATCGCTCCAGCCCCTTGTTACTGTTTTTGGCATATCGAATATGCCATGGAGAGCTTACCAGGCTCTGCTGTGTGGGCAGGATACTCTCTCAGTAGCTTGCCAGGCTCTCTAAGAGGGATGGAGGAATCGAACCCAGGTTGACCTCATGCAAGGCAAACACCCTACCCCCTGTGCTATTGCTCCAGCCAAAGGACAGGTAAAAAATTTAAAAACATAGTGTTGACTAAAAAATGTTGGAACTACAAAATGTATGTCCAGTTTAATTCCAATTTAAAAACTTTGTGGAAAAAGATATTTCTTGAGAGGTCAGAAAGATAGGATAGGGGTAAAGGCATTTACCTTGAATACAGCCAACCCTGGTTTGATCCCTTTGTACCCTGCCCCCCACCAGGAGTGAACCCTAAGTGCAGGGCCAGGAGGAAGCCCTTGGCATCACCCAGTGTTCTGCCCCTTCCGTACTCCAAAACCCAAACAAATGGAAGAAGATATTCCTTTCTCAGCAGTGTTTGCTGTTTAAGCAGTGGGTAACACTTGGTAGTGGAGTTTGTGACTTTTATGTGTGCTTTTAAACTTCTGTAATGAAAATGAACTAAGTAATCATGAAGAACATTTGCAGGAGGTGCTGTGGGAGTATTTTTTACAAAGTTATAACATAGATTTTTTTTTTTTACCTCTTCTCAATTACCTAGGGAACTTCAATAAAGAGTGATTCTTACTAGTTAATAGTCAAGAATATTCTTTTGAGGGACTGGGGTGATAGTACAGCCTGTAGGGTGTTTACCTTGCACAAGGCAGAACCTGGTATGATTCCCAGCACCCTGGTCCCTGAGAGCAGCTCCCCGAGTCCTGAGCACTGCTGGGTGTGACACCAAAACAAACAAAAAGAGAGGGAAAAAAAAAGCAAAGAAAAAAAAAGAAGTGTTCTCTGAGGGGTTGGGGAGATAGTATTAAGCATGTGGAGGCTTAGGTTGGAACCTCACGCCGCAGGCACACTGAGTCCTGGGAGAAGTAACACCCAAGCCACTAGGTGGATGTGGCCCCGGGCACTGCTACCAACTGTGGCTCTGAAAGCCAGGTTTCCAAATGTGGGCCCCTCTAAGAATCTTCCATGGTGCAGCAAAGGTCCTACCAGAGGCTGATTTTTACTGAGTACAGGTCGGGGGCCATATTTCTATAATGTTCCGGGACTCTGTGCAGCGCAGGCGAAAACCACCACCAGATCTAGAAAAATCAGTAACAGCCATACACCGGTAAGGCTCGTTAGTGGCAGTACAACACAGGATTCCAGGTATGCATATTTAGTATATGTATATTTAATATATATGTAAGTATATTCCAATTGTCTATACAGAACAATTCAGCTTGCTTTATCTACTTTATCCTCAAACTGTCTTACTATACTATAAGCACCAAGGTGAGCAGGGTAATTCTTTTTTATACTAACCCCTAAACTTGTCTGTGTAAGGGAAAGCTTACATTATAGTTTTGAAGTCAGCTTTACATGCCTCTTTTTGGGATACTGTGAAGATTAAAAGACATTACACAGTCTCAACACAATATCCAGAATACAGCTAACAATGAATATATTTATGAAACCTTTCAACTTTTCAAGGACCCTTGACACACAAGAGAAATTTAATTTCTGAATGCAAACATATACCTTGTTCTGCCTCTAGAAGAAACCTTGATATCTTTTTGGGAGGATTCATCATCTGATTTCATGTCATCTGATGAAGGAGGTTCATGGAGGTTTTCATCTTTTTCTTTGTTTTCAATTTTTATTTCTGTTGGAACAACAGTTCCAGGCTGACTCTGCAAGCCACCTAACAAAGAGAAAAAGACATACAATGTGCAGATTCATTTATAAATTAGTACTGAGACTTTAAAGTACTGAGAAAAAAGTAGCTGGCAAAAATCCTTAGTTTTGAGTGTTATGATAAAATCAGAGCTGAAAAGAACACGTCCACAAATCTCAGAGAAAGAAATTTTGAGAGGCTGTTGGGACACACCCAGCAGTGCTCAAGGGTTACTCCTGGCTCTATGCTGAGGAATCACTCACTCCTAGAAGGCTCAGGAACCATATGGGATGCCATGGATTGAACCTGGGTGTACTGCATGCAAGGTAAGCACACCTACCCAATGTGTTATCTCTCTTGACCTGAGGAAATTATTATTTTTTTTAAGAGTATCAATGTTTAGGGGTCAGAGAGATAGTACAGTACGTAAGCATTTGCCTTGCATGCAGTCGACCCTGGTTTGATCCCTGGCACAGCTTATGGTTCCAAGCCTGACGGTAGTGAGTCCTAAGCAATACCGGGTGTGGCCAAAAACAAACAAACAGAACAAGCCTGACCTTAAGACAACTGACGGGCTGGAGCGATAGCACAGCAGGTAGGGTATTTGCTTTGCACGCAGTCAACCCATGTTCGATTCCCAGCATCCCATATGGTCCCCTGAGTATTGCCAGGAGGAATTCCTGACTGCAGAGCCAGAAGTAACCCCTGAGCATCACTGGGTGTGACGTGTCTAGCAGACGCTGTTATTATTATTATTATTATTAGTTTTGGGGTAACAGTTGGCTTTGTTTAGGACTTCTCTGTAAAAATACAGAAACTGGGGTTGGAGTGATAGCACAGCAGGTAGGGTGTTTGCCCTGTATGCAGCCCGACCTGGGTTCGACTTCCAGCATCCCATATGGTCCCCTGAGTATTGCCAGGAGTAATTCCTGACTGCAGAGCCAGAAGTAACCCCTGAACATCACTGGGTGTGACGTGTCTAGCAGAAGCTGTTATTATTATTATTATTATTAGTTTTGGGGTAACAGTTGGCTTTGTTTAGGACTTCTCTGTAAAAATACAGAAACTGGGGTTGGAGTGATAGCACAGCAGGTAGGGTGTTTGCCCTGCATGCAGCCCGACCTGGGTTCGATTCCCAGCATCCCATATGGTCCCCCGAGCACGGCCAGTGCATGAACCAGGAGTAACCCCTGTGTATCGCTGGGTGTGACCCAAAAAGCAAAACAAAACAAAACAGAAACAAAAAAACCCCACACCAACCACCCAGAAACTGCATTTTAAAATACTGAATTTTAAGGCAAAGGAAGTAATCACCATCTTTGTTTCTCTGCTTCTATTGTTTTTTTAAAAGGTGGAGGGAATGTGGGGGTTCCAAGCAGTGCTCAGGGGGCCATCCCAGAGATGAATGGCCATTTGAACACAATGGTTCAGAGTCTGGCTGGTGATGAGGGCTTGCCTGGGTGACCCCGTGCTGGGACCACCAGGGACACATGCAGCAGTGGGCCGCCATTCCTAGGCATGTCTGGCCTCGTAGCTATTTTCCTCGGCCCTAACATTCTTTTAACAAAACAGATGCTATGGTTAAATATAATGCTAAGAACTTTATCACTGAATTTGATATAAATTGTATTTCTTGAGAAATGCTACCAAAATTTTTATCCGTTTGCTTTTCATGAGAATTGTCCATTTCTCTAAAGTATAATCTAACCAACAGCTACTGTCATCAGAGTTCTCAGTTTATGGTGTTGCTTAATGCTGTCAATAGTTTGAGAAATTGTGACTTTAAGCAAAATGACATTTAATAAAATTAATTTTGCCAAATACTGATATAGACTTCTGATATATACTCGCAGTTTTTAAACATGACCAAATTTCTAAAATCTGAAAGATTTCTAATACTATTAGAAACATTCTATTCATTCATCGATTCATTCATTTTCCAGCCCATTTATTTCAGTCTGGGCCCTCAGTGGCTTGTGTCTGATCTGTCAGTGTGTGTCATCACAAGGTGGGCTGCTCCTTGGGTCCACCCTTCCACTGCAGGTGTCCTCAAAGCACTTCCTCACATGCCCATAGCCCAGACAATTCAAAGACACCAATTAACCCAATACACCCACCTCTGGGATGCGGAAGAGAACAAAGTAGCTAAAGAAAATTCAGGGTGATGTGGGGAGAACATAAAAATTCCTGGCCAGGGAGTGACTTTTTTGCCAATAAGAATGTTAAACAAATTCTATTCAAGGTCTCCTACTATATTCTTTTTCTCTCACTGCCTGTAAAATCCATGAAGCCTCAGTCATAAAGGGAAGTTATTAAGGAAGAGAGACAGAGGGTAGGGCCAGGCAAGAAGAGGACCAGTGAATACCAAGCAACAGCTTGCATGTGAGTTTCATCCATCAATATGATCTGTGACTGGTAGCCAAAGGGCCAAGTGGAACTCTAAATATTGACCCTTTGTATCAATACAAAAGGACTACTGTTTGTAATTCCCTCACTTAAGATGACTAAGCCCACAGATGGAAAATTGCCTTTTAGAAAAGTATACAGTGTTCCCAAGGGTATCTTTGTCCGCGTTACTGTTGGCAAACAATAGCGTGTAGAGGGGTCAGAGAGTGACGTATAGGTGTTATTCCACTCGCCTTGCATGTAATCAAACTAAATTCAATCCCCAGCACTACATGATCTCGAAGCACCAGTGGCGGTCAACTGCCGAGCACAGCCAAATCCCCCTCCCTATCAAAACCCTCAACAGTAGAGTTACCTCTGTAATTTTCTTGTGTTTTTTGGTTCAAGTCTGCGCTTGAAGCAGTGACTGTACTCGACAGGACTGAATGATTGCCATTGAGACTGACGGAGTCTTCTCGGTGAGTTCCAACCTAAAGGGAAACCAGGAACACAGTCAAGACAACTCAGAGCCAATGAATTCCAAATTCTTCCTTTGAGCTTAGAAGAGCTTTTAAAAAGTTACATTTGTTTATCAATTTTATTCAGATGCTACTTTTCTAGTTTTTGAAAAATTACAATCAATATTGGCTTTTAAATCATAATATTTTTAAAAAACGCTCAAATTTTCAAAATTTACATTGCACAATTTTTTTTTTCTTTTTGGGTCATACCTGGTGATGCACAGGGGTTACTCCTGGCGGTGCTCAGAGGACTATATGGGATGCTGGGAATAGAACCCAAGTCAGGCGTATGCAAGGCAAATGCTCTACCCACTGTGCTATCATTTCAGTCCCTGCATAAAATTTTTGTCACAAGCAAATCAACTAATAGAGATAAGACATAAAACATATATTATAAAATCTATTCATCAATAAGACCAGCCCATAGTCTGGAGAGACAGTTGGGGGTAAAGGCATTTGCCTTTTACAATGTTAACCCCAATTCAATCTTTGGTACCACACATGGTCCTGAGCACTGCCAGGAAAGATTCTTAAGGGACCTGAAAACCAAAACCAAAGCAAACGCCTCCCCAAACTAACTTATTTCATGTACTAATTAAATATATTTAAATTTTCATGAATTTATTTTTGATACTTTGACACTTTGTTATTTCTTCTAACTGCTAATCTTCAAAATTTTGAAAAGAACAGCAAAATCAGCATGAAATTAAAACTGAAGAAAGCAGGGAAAGTTAAAACATTTGGAAACTGAGTAATATACTGTCAAAAAGCCACTGGGTCAGGGACTGGAGATAGTATAGAGTATAGTGGGCAGGGCACTAGCCTTGCAGAGACTCCTTGAAATGAATGAGAACGAAAACGAAAGTACCAGAACCTATGGAACACAGCAAAAGCAGAACTGAGAGGAAAGTTCATGACAATATAGACTCACAGAAAATCTTAAGTCAGTGCATACACTGCCCGAGCCCATGTGCTGCTTGCGCCCACACTGCTGAGCACGCGTCGCCTGCATCTCCCCTCTTGAGATGTGTACTTTCATGCTTTTGTGTCTAATGCTAGGATGTATGCAGGAGCTCTCTCTGACCTTGGAGAAGCCCAAGCTCTCTCTTGAGTGCATTCCTCTCTCACTCTCTCCCCCTCCACACCTTAAAAATCTATTTATTTCAAAAAAAAAAAAAAGAAAATCTCAAGTCAATAAACTAACCTCACAGCTTGAAAAAGAATAATATAAATGCCAAAAAAGAAGGAAGTAATAAAAGGCAGAGCAGATATCAATGACATAGAAATAAAAAAAAACATTATATAGGGTAAACCAAACCAGAAGCTGTTTTTTGAAAAGAAAACAAGACTGGACGAGTGGCTCTCCAGCACGACCACAGCCCCAGAAGCACAAGGACTTAATGCAGAACCCAGCAGCTTGGAGCAGAAAAGTGAAAGGACTATGCGTTAATCCAGGCCATCATGTCTGTCCGGAGGGGAAAGGGTGTTGCCCCATTCACCCTCTCCTCTCTGGAAAGAAAGATGGCAGCCGCATGGGAGCCTTGTGGACAGCAGGTATGAGCCGGGGGGTGTGGGGGCGACTAAAACCTCATGGGAAGGGGGGCATTTCGGTCCGCCCTTCACACCCTACCGAGGCCACCAGTTGCCCCCCACTAGCGGCTCTCCAGCACGGCCACGACTCCAGAGCACAGAAACCAATTTCTTAACTATCTGACTTTCAGTAGAAATACTTCCAGGGTCAATAAGTAAAATAGCAGAAATCCAAAACCAACATTTAATTCTTGAACCCAGCTGTAGAAAGCAAATCACTTCACAATGCTTTTTCAGCATGTCTGATTTTGGGGGGGGGGTAAACTCTAAATAATAGTGGTGAATCTTTTATTGAAACAATGAATCTAATCAAAGCAGATAGAGTGTTAACTAGAATTCATCTGCCCCACAGGGACTGGGAGGGGTGGGGGGTGGGGTTTTATTGGGGTTCTTCATGGTAAAAAAAAAAGCATTGGTAAAGGGAAATGTGTTTGATATTTGCATGACTGAGACCTAAACCTGAAAGCGTTGTAACCTTTCCCACAGTGATTCAATAAATAAATAAAAAAAAAAAAAAAAGAAAAGAAAACAAGACTGGAACTTTGCTAGATTCACAAGGGGAAAAAGAGAAGATTGGAGAGATAGTACATGCAGCTGAGGAGGTGCTTGTCTTGCAGGCAGCTGATCCCAGTGCACTGCCAGGATAGATCCCTGCTCAGAGTCAGAAGTATGCTCTGAGCACTGTCAGGTATGGCCCATTCTCTAACACCACACCCCCAACATGGGGAGAAAACATGAACAGACGCTTCCTTGAAGAAGATATACAGATGGCAAAAAGGCATACAAAAGAGTTTTCATCGTCAAGAAAGGTAAGAAAAAGACAATTAGATGTCATTGCACAATAGTCAAAAAGAGGAAACAAGCAGAGCTAGTGGAGCTGTGGTGAGAAAGGAATCCTCACTCACGTGGGAATAGTGTCTGGTATAGCAAATAGGAATAAAGTTTCTCTATAACCCAGTGATTCCACTTCTTGGCATCTACCTTAAAAACACAAAACACTAACTTAAAGAGATATAAGCAGAACTATATTCACTGAGGTGCTATGTACAATAGCCAGGGTACGGAAACAACCCTAACGCCCAACTACAGATGAGTGGATAAAGAAGTTCCATAAGGGCCAGAGATAATACAGAGATGAAGGTGCTTATCTTGCACATGGCTAGCCCCAGTTCAAATCCCCCAGCATCACATAAGGTCCACTAAGTACAACGCCAAGGAAAGTCTTGAAGCACTTTCAAGTGTGGCCCAATTTCCCCCACCAAAATAAGTTGTGGTATGTATATATAATGGAATACTATGGAGCTACAAGGAAAGAAAATCTTGCAGTTTGCTGCAACTTGAATAGAAACGGAAGGTATCATGTTAAGTTAAAAAAAACCAGAGGGTGGACAAATACCAAAATCTCACTTATTTGAGGTTGTGGTACAAAGAGAAACAAAACAAGGGACAATGATAAACTGAGTCATCAAGCAGGGTGTGTGTGTGTGTGCATATGAGTGTGACAAGAGGCAGACTAAAAATGACATAGGGTACTGGTAGAGGGTTGTCAGGTGATTTGGTGGTAGTGAAGGTGTGGTAATTTTGAACATCAAAACTATGACTGTTAACACCTTTAAAACCGTGTCACCTAAGCTACAAAAAAGTAATAATAATAAAAAACAACAACAATAAAAATCCTTCAAAACATATATAGTAGCCAGGTAATAAAAGCACTAAATATTTAAGTTCTCAGATTTGCTTTGTTATTTTTTTTTTGGGGGGGGATGGTGGTTTATTGGGCCACATCTGGTGGTGCTCAAGGTTTACTCCTGGCTATGCTCAGAGAATCACTACTGATGGTGCTTAGGGATCCCTATCTGGTGCTGGGATCAAACTGGGTTTGGCCAGGTGCAAGAACCTAATTAATGTTGTTCTATCTCCCCAGCCCCTTGTATTCTCAGTTTTTATCACATATAATAAGTCACAGTTGCCCTGGAACAGGAAAGTAAGGCATGCAAATACCACTGGGTATTTTAGGAAAAATGATCAAAAATGAAAAAAAAAATTATCAGAACAGTATCAGATGCCACAACTAAGAGATGAGATCTTTGATACTACTGTGTTTACTGCCCAGTATGAAAACCACTTTTTCTCCACAACAAATCCTTCAACCCCAGTAAACTACCATGCTCTGAATCCACTTTTTCTCCCCAACAAATCCTTCAACCCCAGTAAACTACTCTGAATCCTCTTCAGTAAAGCAATGTAAAGTTTCATCACCATTGCTTAAAATCAGTTAAGTATACTACTTAGAGGATCAGTCATTGATTATACCAATCATTATATCAGTCATTGATTTTATAGTTTTAAAACAACAAAGTCTCCAATGGAGACGTTACTGGGCCCGCTCGAGCAAATCGACGATCAACGGGAGGGCCTTTACCTTACCTTTACCTTAAAACTATGTGAGTTCATTAGGCATTAGAAGTCATGTTCTTTGAAAAAATGAGGTGGGGAGGTGGGGGGCATTGGCTAATACCCGGTGATGCTCAGTAATAACCTGACACTGGTTGGGGGCCTGAATGATGCTGGAGATCAAATTAGGGTCGACCATGGTAAGAAGAGTGCCTAACTGTTTTTGTATAATCTGTCCTGCCCCAGGACAGTCATCTCAAAGGAACAATGGCCGACCTTGATTCTCTTTTTCAACTCTGATAGCTTCCCTAAGGCAGTCTGCCTCTCCCACAACTTTTATTTATTTATTTATTTATTTAGAATACCCACCCCTCCACCAGTGCTCATTTCCCACCACCACAAATCCCAGTATCCCTCCCACCCCCCCATACCTACCATCCCACCCTGCCTCTGTGGCAGGGCATTACCCTCTGTTCTCTCTCCTTTTGGGTGTTGTGGTTTGCAAAAGACTCTTTTTTAAAAAAAAATTTTATTAGTTCTCCGGCAACTTTTTTGAAAAGTAACAAATCTAATAACCAAGCCTAAAAAGTAAAAAAGATGTAAAACCTACATTCAAGAGAAAACATTTTCAATATTTTAAAATTTTCAATAGCATCAATGTTGGGGCTAAAGAGATAATACTGCTGGTAAGGAACTTGCCTTGCATGCAGAGGACCTCAGTTTGGTCCCTGACACCACACTGGCAGGAGTGATTCCTGAGTGCAGTCAGGAACCAGGCCTGAGCATAGCCAGGTATGCCCCTTCCACCTCCCACCCCCAACAACAACAACAAAAAAACCAGTATTAATGTTTATGCTTTGGCATACAAAATCACATACAAGAGAGAAAAATTCAAAACTTTCATGATGATCTGCCTCCATAAAATCCCATCATGTTTATTCTTGACACACACGGTGTTTTATTGCTGACTATGAACACATTTAATT